ACCAATCCACAAAGTCCTCCTCCATCTCACAAAATACACTCTATGATGCCGACTGCAGGAGGAAAGCCAAATCAGTGAACGTGTAAGCATCTCAGCACTGGCAGGGGTCTCCACACGGCTGCCCCAGCATCCAGGTCTGTATCGGGGTAGGTCCATGTGGCTTCTCCTTGGGGATGTCTTACAGGAAGTAAGCCTTCCCAGCTGAAGCAGGGAACTGGCTAAGGCCGCTGCACCCTGGTCCGACCACCATAAAGCAAGAGACCTGAGAACTAGAAAGGCAAGGCTCACTGAGCCATTTTTCTCTCTGCCCTTCAATTAAACCCACATGTGTTAATCGACCATGTTGGCACAGTAATCTTTAACTATCTCACTATTGATCCAAGTTGATTTTAGACTGCCAAACTCAAAAACCTAATTAATTAATGAATTGCAGCTATCAAAACATTGGGTGGGATGCCACTCTGGCAATCAAAGAATTAGTCAGACTTTTTCTACATCAAGAGATGGGCCTAACTTAAAAACTCCTATCTTCAGTTTATCCCAAAAATATTATTTGTTCCTCTTCATACTCATAGACTGCATTTGACTTGATGGATTTCTTATGGTGTTTGGGGGGCATTCATAAACATGCCAAATATATGCTAATTCAACTCACCACCATCCAGTCGATGCTGACTCATCGGACCCTGTAGAACTGTCCTTGTGAGTTTTCTAAACCGTAATTGTTTATGGGAGTAGAAAGCACCTTGTCTTTCTCCTTCCGAGCAGCTGGTGATTTTGAACTGCTGACCTTACCGATCACAGCCCAAGTAACCACTGCACCACCAGGGTTCCTGGTGTACTAAGTAGAAACTTTTTAGTGATGTGTCTTAACTATCACTGTTTAGTTAACAACGGTAACGGATTTTGTTTATAGTTTAGAAAGTCCTGTTTATGTTAAAGCTGGGCTATATTAATATACCCCACTGCCATTGAGTCCAATTCCAACTCATAATGAGCCCTATATAGAACGTCCAAGGTCTTGGAGCAACTGGTGGGTTTGAACCACCAGCCTTGAGGTTAACAGGCCAATACCCAATAGCCCTACCAGGGCTCCTTATAGTAACATAGACAATCACTTACTGCTCTTGTGTAGTTGTTGTTATCTTGCCCCTCCCTGTTTCAAAATAAGAAAACAATTGTTAGAATACTTTAGTTGGAAGTACATTTTTACTTCTAATTTACATTAGCCTTTACTACTTGTCGCCCGCGCTCCACCTCTCACTGAGAGTGGATTAAGAATGATACGTCTAATCTTCAAGTAAAGGGCCCTGATAGCACAAATGGTTAAGTCCTCAGCTGCTAAACAAGATTGGTGGTTTAAACCCACCTGCAACTCCATGGGGAAAACTCAACTGCTATGGAGTCAATGCCAACTCTTAGTGACCTTGTAGGACATGTTAGAACTGCCCCCGAGAGTTTCTTTGAGTCTGTAATGTTTATGGAAGTCGACAACCCTTTCTTTCTCTGGAGGAGTGGCTAGTGATAAAGACCGTTGTTGTTGTTGTTGTTGTTGTTGTTGTTGTTAGGTGCTATTGAGTCAGTTCCGACCCCATCTACAACAGAATGAAACACTGCCCAGTCCCACACTGTCCCCACAATTGTTCTTTTTGTTTGAATCTATTGATGTAGCAGCCATTGTGTCATTCCATCTTATCAAAGGTCTCCCTCTTTTTTGCTGTCCCACTACTTGTACCGAGCATGACGTCCTTCTCCCGGGACTGGTCTCTCCTGACAACATATTCAAATTACATTAGATGATGTCTCATCATCCTTACCTCTAAGGAGTATTCTGATTATACTTCTTCCAAGACAGATTTGTTAGTTTTTTTGGAAGTCCATAAAAATTACAGTCCAGCATCAATGACCCAGAACAAAAAATCATATCACTGTTAATGAGGGGGAGTGCAGAGTGGAGACCCAAAGCCTATCTGTAGACAATTGGACATCGCCTTACAGAAGGGTCACAAGGAAGAGACAAGACAGTCAGGGTGCAGTATAGCACTGATGAAACATACAACTTTCCTCTGGTTCTTTAATGCTTCCGCCTCCACCTACCCCACCACCACCACCACTATCATGACCCCAATTCTACCTTATAAATCCGGCTAGACCAGAGCAGCATGTACACAGGTACAGATAAGAGTTGGAAACACGGGGAACACAGGACACATAAACCCCTCAAGACCAATATTGAAAATAACGATATCAGGAGGGGAAGGTAGGGGGAGAGGGAACCGGTCACAATGACCTACATATAACCTTCTCCCAGGGGGACAGACAACAGAAAAGTGGATGAAGGGAGACATCGATCAGTGTAAGACATGAAAAAATAATAATAATTTATAAATTATCAAGGGTTCATGAGAGAAGGAGGGGAAAATGAGTTAAATACCAAGGGCTCAAGTAGAAAGAAAATGTTTTGAAAATGATGATGGCAACAAATATACAAATGTATTTGACACAATGGATGTCTGTATGGATTGTGATAAGAGTTGTACGAGCCCCCAGTAAAAAAAATTTTTTTTTTAAAGATTACAGCATAAGAAACCCTAGGGGGTGATTCTACGGTCTCCTGTAGAGTCTCTATGTGTGAGAATTGCCTCTGCAGCACACAAGAACAACAATCTCCTAACAGGAGATTTTGAAGAAAGGCACTTGGGTAAAGGGACGGGAGGCTGTTCTATGAGAACTTCAAGGACTAACTCAAGGATATCAAAATTATATTACCAAAATGTTTGCCTATGAAAACCAAAAATGGCACCATTTAGGAAGCAAGCTGGTTCTAGTTCCCATGACAGTGGGAGGTAAGACAGAGCTTTTGTCTCTACCCTTAATTTTTCAATTCTCTCTTCCAAAAAAAGTCTAGGAAATTTCAACAGTAACTGGAAATTTTTGTGTAGTTCAAGGAAGGATGTTTGGGTGCATTTTTCAGAGTAACGGGTGATAAAGTCACCCCAAAGCCTCCAGCCCAGTGATAACCCCTTCAGTTAAATGTGTAGGGATTCATGATATCCATCATATTTATCTCTGATATATTAATTCTGCCTCTTCCTCTTCCCCATTGCCCTGGCCAGCCTCTGCCTCTGAAGTAGCTCATTAATGGTTTTCCTACTCCAGTCTCTGCCTCTCTGTAATCCATCCTCACCCCACCTCTCAGGGATAACCAAAAACTCCCAAGTTCACTGCCATCAAGTCAATGCTGACTCATAGCAACCCCCTGTGGGTTTCCAAGACTGTTTATAGAAGTAGAAAGCCCAGTTTTTCTCCCAGGAAGCTGCTGGTGGTTTTGAACTGCCGACCATGTAGATCGCAGCCCAACACGCAACCACTACACCACCAGGGCTCCTACCCTATCAAAAAAATTAATCACACCATGTCTGTCTCTTATTTTGAAGTCTTTGGTGGCTTCTTATTATGTACTGGATTCCATTCAACCTCCACATATTTAGTACCCTTTGTAGCTTGGCTTCTTGCCTACCTTTTTTTCTTTAATTTTTTTAATCAACAACAATATCCTGTTGCCTGACTTTCTTAGATGCACCCTATTCTCCTTCCAGAATAAGCTAATTAACCAGTCCCAAAATATGTCAAATAATTTCACACTTTACACGTGTTATTCCTTCTTCCTAGACTGTCTCCTCGTCTTGTCATCACTCAAGCCCCAGCTCAGATTTCATTTCCTGTGAGCCTTTTCTAACCCCACTCTTGCCCCCAGGACAATTGCTTTTTTTATTCCTTCCATAGCACTTTACACAATATCTTTCTTTTTTAGAGACATGTAGCATGGTAGTTACTTGTTCATTATAAATCTTTTCCTGTAGCAAGACACTTGTCATATAAAAGGAAATAAAATGTCTTTTGAAAAGAAGCATGACTATAAGATTATAAAAGTCCAAGTAATCTAGATGTGTATAATAAATAGCATCAGGAAGGAAGTAAAGAAAATAAGAGAAGTTAGAAATTACCAGCTTTTCTCCCTCTATGACAAGAGCAGTTCTTTCCATTTGTTACTTTCTTTTAGGTCTTGCAGGTGGGGAGGATCCAGGGAAGGTGAGCCAGGCCGTGATAAAGAATGGCCATCCCACCCCCATTGGAGGCACCAGATCTGCTAGTCCAGTCCACACGGAGGAAGAGCCAGGAAGAATAGCAAGTGTTAGGAAGCCTGCACCAGAAGAGGACCCCAAAAAGCGTCTAGGTAAGATGCTATGGAATTTGAGCCATAGAACCTTCACTTATTTACCTGAGGAGCTTGTAAGAGAATGGGGGAGAAATAGAGTTTGGGGGAATTCTGTTCTCTGCTAGCGGTTCCTTGGGTAATGTGTGATTCTCAAAGACTATGCCAACTGCCATGGGGTTGATTCTGACTCATAGTGCCCTATCGGGCCGTAAAACGCCCTCTTCTTAGTTTCCAAGGTTGCAAATCTTACTGGAAAAAAATAGCCATGTCTTTCTCCCACAGCTTAGTTGGTGGAGTTGAACTCCTGACCTTGCAGTTAGCAGCACAATATGTACCCACTATGCCACCAGGGTTCTCTGAAGGCAAAAAAACTCAATCAGACTGATTGTCATCTGGTTGATTCTGACTCATGGCAATCTGTAGGAAAGAGTAGGAACTGGCCCTGTAGGTTTCCAAGACTGTAACTCTTTACAGAAGTTGAAGCTTCGTCCTTCTGCTGTGGAGCGACTGGTGAGTTCGAACCACCGAGCTTTGAGTTAGTGGCCTCACTAACAGGAGTAACCCCTGTGCCACCAGGGCTCCTTCAAAGAGAGAAGAGGATGTCAAACACTAGCCTCCCTGGCGGTCTAATTATGTCAGTAATGTGGTACCCGAAGCGGTACATTGTTTTGCATAAAACTTGTTGTTTTATATTGTAGGCCTGTAATTCTTAAGAAATTACTCATTTTGATCTCTCTAGTAGATATTCCAGGTATGATAAACTTTAACCTCCCTGGCAGTCTAATTATGTCAGTAATTTTGTTAAGGGACTTCTCTGCAGTGTAATCCCGAGTGTGGCTGGGGGTTGCCGCTTCTGACAGTTAACATTTACCCCGAGCCACACTGGGGATTACCGCCAGGGAGGCTAGATACCTATCATACTTTTCCAAGCTATACATGCCTCTTCCTTTACTTAAGGACTGCCGATGTTACCTCCTCGAGTTCTTTCACATGAAAAATCACTATTTACAGTGAGCCTCTTTTGATTAGAAAAGTGTCAAATTCCAAAAGTTGCGTTGAGGTTGGAAAACATAGGGAAGTGTTGCCTATTGGCTTAATCTATAAATTGAATAATTGGAGTTAAAGATAAATTTGTAGATGAACTAGCTTTTTTATAGTCTCTTTGATTTCTGTCTTTTCCCTTTTAAATCGCATCTATTACACAGGCTCAACTGGAAGCCAGCCGCATTCTGAAACAGACTCTATTCCTGAGAACACACCCAAGCAACCGTTACTTCCCCCCAAACGGCCCTTGTCATCTTCGCACGAATCCAATGAAAGGCAAACAAAGGATGCCACTTCCTCCAGCGGCAGGACCAGGTCCAGCTCCTCCACCTCTGCCTCCACCACCCCAGTGCCTGCTGCCACCACTGCTGCCATGAACCCAGCAAAGACTGTTAATTCCTCTGTCGCCCCCCTCCCAGCACCCAGGACTCTGCCTGCTGTTCCTGCCAGCACAAACACTACTGCTACCCTAAGCCTGGGCCATACGGTCCCTGCCAAGCAGCCCCCTGTTCCTCCTCCTAAACCAGCTCACAGAAATAGCAACCCTGTCATTGGTGAGTCCCAGGCTTGTACTGTGTTGTATTTTATTGGCTAGCTAGGGTAATGTTGCTTTGTTCTACTACAGAATTCTCCATCTCTCATTCTTTTGAAAATGCCCTCAATGTGGGCAAAGGTTTTGAAAATGAGGCAAATGGGTATGAATGGAGACAGGCTGACAATTAGGTGCAAGCCAGAGGCCTGGGTATGTAAATACCACATTATTATGACCTTCATGATATTACCTGTGTCACTTGCTGAAAAAAACAATTTTTTTAAGGAGGCAAGGCAAATTCTTAGACCAAAAAATTTGTTTAACCCATTTTAGCCAGCAGTGCCTTCCTTCAGCATAAATGAGTCTAGTTGAAAAGATGATTATATAGTTTGAATCAGTATCTGGCATAGTATTTCCATATGCACTGGCAATGATATAATTTAAATTGCCCTGATAAAATCATGTTTTATTGTGAAAGAGTTCAAGATGCTACTGTGAATAAGTTAAGTGGTGAAAGAAAACAAGGAAGCTAATCAGTAAGTTTTTATGCTGCAATGAATCTTCTGTTTACTTGCAAGCACTAGTTAAGTCATTATTCTTTACATGTGTGCATACCGTCTGAGAGGAATTTTCAAGTAAAGAAAGAACAGTGAGTTCATGAGCGCTTCAGAGATGATGAAAAGGGCCATATTTAGTGCAGTTTTTCAGAAACAAATGATACCAGTTCTTATTAATTGATGAACTGGAGGAATTAAAATAAAAAGGCTTGTTAACTGGCAAATGACTGAGTTGGGTGGGGTGGGTAGAACCCTGAAAAACAGGCTCAGACTCATTCTGTGTATGACAGGTTGGGGTGGCTCCATAAAAACAGGAAGAAGATTAGTATTATCACTGCTTTGGATTGATGGTGCCATATTGACTTATCTCTGAGGAACTTGAGAAACTTTCACATAATCCTTTTCAACACCTGTGAAGTAGGAAACTGATTGTATGTTACATAGAAAGCGCAATTAGAACATTAAAAAATTGTGACTCAAAACAAAAACAAAAAAAATTGTGACTCACTCAGAGTTCGTGAGAGAAATTCAACTCTATGGTTGAGTCCAAACCTCTGCTCTCTAAGCTAATATTATCTAATGGGTGTTCTCATCAAAATCACAGATTGCTGCCTGCCCCTCCTGCAGTTCCTGATTCTGTAAATCTGAGATTCTAAACCAAAACCAAACCCATTACAGTAAAATCCGTTCCAGCATATAGCCAACCTGCAGGACCCAGTAGAACTGGTCCATGGGGCTTCTAAGGCAATCAATTTTTATGGAAACAGACGGCCACCTCTTTCTCTCATGGATGGATGGTGGGTTTAAACCGCAGACCTTTCAGCTAACAACTGAACACTTTTAGCTACTGCACTACCAAGCCTTCCTAAGTTTGGGATAGAGCCTGAGAATTTTCATTTCTAGAAGTTCCTAGAATGATGCTGCCCGTTTGATGACTACACTTTGAGAACCACTTCTCTAGACCAGTGGTTTCCTACCTTTTTCAAGGTAGGGACATATGTACATAGAGGCCCTGTGTGGGCAAGGTGAAAAGCCCAAAGCAGCAGGTCCTAGGTCCTGTGACTACCGGTATCATCATCAGCCCAGGACTGGTCTTCATCAGGAGAAAAATCAGTTCATAGATTGAAGCTGTCAAGGATTGAATCTTGCATGGATTCATAATCAATGCTCATAGAAGCAGCGGTTGAGAGATCAAATGATAGACAGCATTGTGTAAATCGACTGCACACAACCTCTGTAAAAACAAGTGCTGAAAAAAAGGCTGTTACTTTGAGGAGGAAAGTATTCCTGACCCAAGCCATGGTATTTTCCATCGCCTCAGATATGTGAGAGTTGGACATTGAATAAGGAAGACTAAAGAAGAATGGATGCATTTGGATTGTGGTGCTGGTGAAAAATACTGAAAATACCCTGCTTGATAAAACCAATACAATACCCTGGACTGCCAAAAGAACAAATAGATCTGCTTAGAAGTAGTTCGGTCAGAATGCACCTTCAAAGCGAAGATGTCAAGACTCCCTCACTTACTTGGGACATGTTATCAGGGAAGACCAGTCCCTGGAAGAGGACAGCATATGCTTGGTCAAGTAGAGAAACAGCAAAAAGAAGGCCCTCAGAAGGATGGACTGTCACAATGGCTGCAACAGTGGGCTCAAACCTAAGAACAATTGTGAGGGTGGCACAGGACTGAGCAGGGTTTTGTTCCATTGTGCATCGGATCACTGAGTCAGAACCGACCTGATGACACTTAACAACAACAGATGATAGCTTTGAGTCCATGCCAGTGTGAAGTACGATCACGGCAAGTCACCCCATTTCTGTGACAGCCAATTTTCCTTCTGTAAGTCCCCCATCACCTCAGGTAGGTCTAAGGAGGGTACACAACCAAGGATATAAAAGCATCGTCGGTTGCTTAAAAAATCATAGCCTTTGTGATAAGACTGAGATTTCATTATGTTATTTTTTAATTCTCATTAAAATGTTAAGGTGGTAATCTACTTTCATTGCTTATACATTTAATAGGTTTCCTAGATAAATAAATTTTGTTTGAGGATGAGATGTCTAGGTAACAGCAATATTATGAAATTATTTAATTTGCCTAAAAGATTAAGAAGACTGAGCCAAACTCTAGATTGTGAAGTCAAGTTTAATTGAGATGTTGCTCTTTTTCCAGCTGAACTGTCCCAAGCAATAAATAGTGGTACGTTATCAAAACCATCTCCACCCTTACCACCTAAGAGAGGCATCCCGTCAGCCTTGGTACCCACCTCCGAGTCTGCTTCTGCCACCACCAAAGCACCAAGTGATCCAAGAGAGAAGACTGTGGGCTCTGTGGCAGCGCCCATGGTCCCACCTTCTCCATCCCCGCCGCTGCCTACTCATGTGCCTCCAGAGCCCCCGCGCTCCCTTCCAGTCCCCTCGACAGCTTGTCAAGTTGTGCCAGAAATTGAGCTTCCACCTCCCTTAGATCTACCCCACGAGGTTCCCCAGCAAGAAGAGGAGAAAAAGGAAGTATCCAAGAGAATTTTGGAGCATAGCTCTGGGGAACCCCATGTACCCTTGAGGGTGCCCCTACTCCCACTGCATATTCGAATCCAGCAGGCCCTGACCAGCCCACTGCCCATGACGCCTCCCTTGGAGGGCTCTCACAGAGCTCATTCATTGCTCTTCGAGAACAGCGACAGCTTCTCTGAGGACAACAGTACCTTGGGTCGGACCAGGTCACTTCCCATCACTATTGAAATGCTGAAAGTGTGAGTGCCTTTAAACCTTTCTTCTTACGCTCCCCTTCTGTACTCTAGGTACCCCTGCTTAGAAAATAGCCCTTACAAAAAGAAAATGGTAATAAACTAAAAGGAAAATGGGCAGATTTGGACACTTTTTTATTTTTGTAATGTTTTTTCCAGGTCATAGAGTTCCATGATGGCATAAAAATTACAAATTTGTATATGTAAAAAACAAAACCACTAGTTTTATATACTGCAAGAGAAGCAGTATAATATAGTGCTAAGGAATAGTAAGATAGTCCGAGGTTCAAATCCTAGTTTTACCACTTATGTAGTAACTGGTAGTATTCTAAGTTACTTAACCTCTCTGCTCTTTAGTTGTTTCATCTGTAAATGGAATAATAATTACCTTATAGGTTTGTTGTGAGAATGAAGTTAGTGTAGAAATGGACAGGAGTAGTACCTGCCACACAAACTTGCTAGATTAGGGAAGTCTAGAAAAAAGAACTTCTGAAATATAGTTTAGGATCCCATCCCCTGGGCTGAAACGGCCTTCTTATTTGCGTTTTCATTTGTCCCTGAACGCAAGTCCATTCACACCAGCATTGCTACTTTACTTACTTTATTTATCCTTTTAACATTCAGACAACTTGTGATTAAAAATTGACCCTCTTGGATAGGTTGAAGGATAGGTTGAAGGATACCTTATTAACTAAAAATCTGTCATAAAGCTAAGTATGGCAGCATTCTATATGTTACTTAATTTGCCACACTCACTCTGATTTTGCTGGTAATATTATTTCATATTCTTAATCTAAATTGTAGTCTTACTCACTAGTGTGAAAAGAGGGTTAAGGCGTGGTGTCGTGGGTTACGCTTTGGGCTGAAAGCCCGCCATTCGCTCCTCAGGAGAAAACTCCCAGGACAGTTGAGTTCGGGTGCACAGAATTGACTCGATGGCAGAGAACTTTAGTTTTGGATAAAACGGGACATCAGTTTTCATCTTTAGTTCTCTTTACTCCTCTGTATTGTCCTAATCTATCGTTAAACCAGAGGAAATGGATTAGATATGTGGGTATCTTTCATGAGCTCGGCACAGCGTTAGATGCTGTGCGGTTTTCTCATTTAAGCAACCAAAGCAAACTTGCATCTCACATGTAGTCATTAAGGGGCATCTCTTTAGGTTAATTTTTTTTTTTTTCTTTCTTTAGGTTAATTTTTGCTTTATAAATTCTTCACAAGATTCTTAAAGGAAGGAATTATAAATTCCTTTATTCATGAACTTTTCGGTAGTTCTTGTTATTTGTCTTGGTACTCCATTACCCGTTTCTGAAAAGGAAATATAATTATGTTGATTTGTTAGTCCAGACGATGAAGAAGAGGAGGAGCAGCCAGCCCACCCCTCTGAGCTGAATGAAGACCTGACACCTACCTCAGTCGTTCCTGAGCTACCACAGTGTCTGCAGGAGCACGAGGGAGAGAAGGAGAGTGACTCTGATTCAGAAGGTCCCGTTCAGTACCGAGATGAAGAGGATGAAGATGAAAGCCAACACAGTAAGAAAGGGTGGGGAGAGCAAAAGAGGACGTTCTTTTGCAGGCAAAGCTAACTTGAGCAAGGGTCATCCCCTGTGAAGGAATCTGCCCCAGTGCCATCCCACTGCTAAAACTAGCCCACAAGAGGGAGCCAGGAAAATCGGTTTTTTTCCCTTTTAGGTTAAACAACTTTTCACCTTGGTGGCATGAAAGAATGTAGAGTAGAAAAAAGCTCGTAGTTGGGCTTTGTTGAAAAAACTAAGATGATGCTTTCTTCCCATTTATGTTCATGAGGCAAAGAAAACTAGCCTTGTTCGTGCACACAAGTAACTATGGGTACTAGACTCCTGCTCCCTCAAAAGGAAGAGCAGTGTTTATTCAAACAGGTATAAGACATGTTATTGCACACACACAAAAATCCAAAAACATTGTTATAACTCAAAGGGATGTCCCATGCTGGGATTATTTCTCCTCCAGCAACTTGAAGAGAAAGTATGCAGAGGACAGGTAAGAGGAGAAGACAGTGCTTGCCCATCTGAGCATCTCCCTGTAAAGATGGCTAGATATCTTCAGCCTTCTTCTCACCTCTGTATTTGACTGCAGCCCTAGGAGACCAAGCACAAAGTGGGGAGCGATGTGGTGTGATCGAGTGCTTGCCTGGCTCCAGCTTGAACCTTTAACTTCAAGCCTCAAGTATCTGTTTGTTTTCTTCTCCTGCACAAAGGTGCTCTGGCCAACAAAGTGAAGAGGAAAGACACACTGGCAATGAAGTTGAACCAGCGACCCAGTGAACCAGAAATGAACCTGAATTCATGGCCCCGGAAAAGCAAAGAGGAATGGAATGAAATACGGCACCAAATTGGGAACACACTGATCCGGTAGGCCTTGGTTTGGAGGGGGCCTGATTGGGTGGGGCAAGCACATGTAGGTGGGACTGCTTTGTGGAGCGGCATTCATTTGTCTTGATGTTTTTTTAAGACTGAGAAGTGGTGTTGGAACCTTGGTGGGGTAGTGGTTACTCGCTCTACTCCCATCAAGAGTTACAGTAGGGGACAGTTCTACCCTGTCCTATAAGATGGCTGTGAGTTGGCATTGACTCAGTGGCAGTGTATTTAGTTTTTTGGTTGTTGTTTTTTATTTAGTTTTTTGAGAAGTAGTATAACTTTTTTAAGTACATGTTGGACACAGTTGGATAAACCCCTATGAACTTGGAGCTGAAAGAACTAGATGATACTCCAGCTTTAAACCATGAGCTAGAAATATTTTTTCAAAACTCTCTGGAAAAGTCAGGAAGTTCCCTAGGCAGCAAGATTTTTTGTCACTTTTTTTTCCCTTCAATCATCAGATACCAATCCAGTAAAAGACCACATCCTTTTCGTTCTTTTTCAGTAATATCTACTTCATACATTCCATGTACCTGCCTCCTTTCAAGATGGTAGTATATTTTTCAAATCAGTAAGAACTAAAAACAAAGGAAAGATGAATGCAAGCCAGCTTCCAAAAGATTCCAAGTATATAGACAGGTGTTGCCCATTCACGCTGATGGAGAGGTGAAGGAGTTAGAACCTCTGATGTTTACAAAATAATTAGCTGAGGATATTCATTTATAAAACTGTATTTTCATACAAATGTGCTTGACACAATGGGTGGATGGATTGTGATAAGAGTTATGCGAGCCCCCAATAAGATGATTTTGAATTTATATATATATTTTTTCCTCTCCTACCCCTCCTACCTGGGTTTGTGTATATGCTGTACCTCAAGACAAATCGAGGTCTTCCAGTAGATATTTTTTGGATTCTGAGATCATTCTGTGTGACTTTATTGTAATCATTTGCCTACAGAGGGGCTTCAGAAAGTGAAGAAAAGATCATGGAACACCACAGGTTTAATCTGTAGGCCCATTTATACTTGAATCATGAACTCTGTTCATGCAGACAGGATTAGCATCACATGAATTTTAAGTTGATACAACACTTGAGCTCACTACAGTAGCAATGGGGGAGGGGAGAGGGGGAATCAACATATAGATGGGCCTGTGCAATTCAAACTTAAATTGTTAAAGAGTCAACTGTTAAGTTACACACACATTTTCAACTGAACAAGAGGTTGGCACCTAACCCCTGTATTAATCAAGGTCGATTGTTGTTCATTTATAGAAAATGTCCATAGAGACAAAAATGCAGGTTAGTAGTTTCCATGACCTGTGTGAGGTCTTTGGGGGCTGAAGAAAATTTTCTGGAATTAAAGTGATGACAGTTGTACAACCTCATGACTATATTTTAAAGAGGTGAGTTTTATGGTGTATAAACTTTACCTCGATTTAAAAGTAAAAAGTCATTATTGACCAAGTGTTTTGGAATAGTAAAGGATAGCATGTGATGGTTACTTTGTCAGCCTGATTCCTCTCCATGAAGGAAAAAAATTCACAGGGGTGTTCTGACTACAGTTAGGTAAAATAAAAATTAATTTAGTAAACGACGGACATCAGGCCATCATACAACTGCTTCCCTTAAACATAATGGCCAGCCTGTGCGTCTTCTGTGGTCTGTCCATGGGAGACATTACAAAGAGATCCTAGATGGAAGGGAAGTGGGCATTTCCCCTGGCTCTGACAATGGTCGCAGCTCACAGAACACGGAGATGGAAGCCGGTTTAGGTGATGTCCACCAGGGTGTGGTACCAAAAGGTCATCTGAGGGGAGGCTGGAGTGTGGCCCTGGACACTTAAGGTCCAGATATTTCATATTTGATCTTGTTACTTTTTGTTCTGTTTTTAAACTTATTTAATATTTTATTTTTTAAGAAAAGCAATTTCTGACTACATGAAAGTTTGCAAAAGCGAATTCAAGTATATCTTTCAAATAGATTTCCAAACTGTTAGGCTCTCCACATTGACTTTCATCATTTATTGTATGCATATATTCTCATTCTCGTTCCCACTCTCATGCCTTTTTCCTTGAACCATTTGAAAATAAATTGCAGACATCATGATTCTTTTAAATAACCGTTGCACATAGTCAAGAAATTTAACATCGATAGTATTTTTGGTCTAGTAGATAATCCATATTCATTTTCACCCATCATGCAAATAATGTCTTTAAATAACATTTTCTCCCCAATTGGATATGGTATATCCAGTCCATATCATCTCTTTCATCTCCTTTAATCTGAAACCATTCTTTCACCTTTTTTGTTTCTATGACACTATTGTTTTTTAAAATCAGGCTACTTATTTTATAGGAGGCTCCTAAATTTACATGTCTGATTGTTTCTGCATGAGGAGATCCACATTATGTATTTACTGCTATACTCATTATTTATTCTCAGTGAGAGCAGGGACCTTCTATTTGTGTCTTAACCACTGGACATGTTTCCAGATCCTTGGAAGAGATCTTGTAGCCTTCAATTACTGTGTCATTGGAATAAAACAATTCTCCCTATTAAGCATAACAATTATGATTTGCAAAGTTGTTAGTTCTTTTTCCCCTGGTATAAAAGTAAAGAAATACATGTTTAATATAACAAATTTGGAAAATACCAAAAGGAAAATAGCTTACACTATCTATGAGTATAAACAAAGGTCAGCACAATTTTTTGTGAACGTGTAAATGACCAGATAGTATTTGTTTTAGGGTTTGTAGGACATATACTCATATAATTTCTGTAGATTTATTTTGTCACTCATGAAAACGTGAACAGAGTTTTGCTTGCAAAAGCAGACCTCGGGTTGATTTTAACCTTGTTGGTGCTGTTAGGTGTTTCCAAGTCACTAACCGCAGAACTGGCTATTGACACCCACCAGCCATTCCTCAGGAAAAAGATGAGGCCATCTGCTCCTGTAAAGATTCATGGGCTCAGAAACCCTCCACAGAGACACTATGCATCCGAACTACTCAATGCAAAAGGCTTAACAAATGTTTTTGTGTGTATATGGTGATAGGGGCTAGTTGGTGTCAGAAGTTGAACTAGAATCCTGACTTTGTTTGCCTATATAGTTATTTTTTATCTTGTCATATTTATACTAATATTTTCCTTGTAACATTGTTTTTATTTAAAGTGAATCAGATAAGCAAATGAACTATTATCAAGTTGAAAGTTTATTTTTTATACTTGTGGGTTATAATATAAACAAAGACCAAAAAGAAATCTTTATAAACAAGATCGGGAGATTTGACACTGACAGTAACTCGTGTATCTCCTTTATAGTCGACTAAGCCAAAGACCAACAGCCGAAGAACTGGAACAGAGAAATATACTGCAACGTAAGTCATTGTGGAAACAAAGTTGTGTAGCTTTTCTCTGCATGTTTCTGACTTGACTGCGCTGCACAAATTAGAGAAGCATTGCTCAGGGAGCCAAGCAGAGCAGTCCAGCCAGGGAAGGACTGGATAACTTTTTCCTTGAAGAAATGTAATTCCCTTCAAACTTCCTTTAGAAGATAGCATTGTGTTTAGTATGCTGGGAGACGCCTCAGGAGGTTTTGTTATAAAGTTCTCACCGGATCCTGGGACTGCAGGGGCATTTGGGGACATTTGAGCACACAAAGGTGTGGTCCGGCTGTCTGTCTTCAAGGAGATAAGATACACGACTTAGCACGTGGAAGGAGCCTTCCAGTACCTAGTGGGATCTGAGAACTGGAGTCTAAAACAAATCCCACGTACAGCAAGTCTTCCTACATCTCTTATCCTTGCCCCTTAAGATTTTTCTTATCTCTTGGTATCCCTATATTCACATTTGTGTCCTGTGTATCTAGTTAAATTTTTGATATGGTGTTTTTAACCTAGTACAGATTTGTTTTACTTTTTCTGGTTATAGAGTGAAAATTGGCCATAAAAACCTCCTCAGTGAAGAGGGGTAGTCTTCCCAAAAGATTCTTGTGTACATGCCCAATTTCTGACCAATAACCCCCCCAATACTCTCAACTCTATTCGGATATACAGAACTCAGTGAGTCATTGTTGATGTGTGGCAGCTTTTACAGACCTGTCACATTAAACAGTGTGATCCCCACTCTCCATGCTTAGTGCTTTCTCTGGAGCAGGGCTCTATAGACTGCTTCATAACCAGTACATAGTAAATATTTTCAGCTTCACAGGTGAAGAAATAAAAAGGAGGCTATTAATGTAAGTAGTTATAAAGCCATTTAAAATGTAGCCATTTGAAACTGAAGACTTAGCTTGTGGGTAATTAAAGTACAGGCAGCTGACCAGATTTGGCACCATCGTGTGCTGGCTTATTCTGCTCCTGTGTATTTGATTTTACTGTCTGGCAAGAAAATGGTCATTAGCCATCTCCACAGTTAGTATTGTAAGAAATATCTTTACTGTAGTTACTAAGAAGTTATGCAAAGTTTCATTCTTAAGTAATCATTTTTCTTTCTTACTCTCAACTTTAGCTAAAAATGAAGCTGATCGTCAGGCTGAAAAGCGAGAGATAAAGCGTCGCCTCACTAGAAAGGTACTGTCACCTGGGTGTCTGGTTAGCTGCCTTCTGTTGACTGAATGCTGTGGAGTTCGATGACATGTTTGCTAGAAAAAAATTAGTTTGACTTGAAGTCCCATAGGTCGCACCGAAAATTAAAACAGACTACAAATCGAGGAAACAGCACATTATCAAAAGCTTGTTTGTTTTTAAATGTTTAGAGAAGCCCTGGCACAAGAAGATGCCCAGTGTATATTTGATTAAATACATTTTCATTCTCCTTTGATAGATGTAAGCGCTAATCATAGCCTGTTGGAGTATAGACTGTAATAAGACAGTGTAGTACTTGCTTTGTAAAACAAGCTGGTTGTTTTATTTATTTATTTATTTTTGGTTGGTTTATAATCAAAGGAAGAACTACCTTGAACTGACCCTTAGTAGAACCTGACATGTGTCAAAAAACTGATTTCTTCTTGGTGCGAAACCATTTGGAAAGGATCCTTTCTGTTCCAGGCCTATGTGAGCTTTTAAACCCTGGAGTTAATCCCTCACTTCTTTCTGTACTGGGTTATTGGGAGCCCTGGTGGTGCTACTGTTGAGATAAGCATTGGGCTGCTACTTACAAAGTTGACAGTTCAAACCTACCAGCTATCCCATGAGAGACAGCCTGGCCTCTCTGCTCCCAACAAGATATATGGTCTCAAAAGCCCTCTCTCTATAAAGTCCGTGTAAGTCAGAGGCCACTTAATGGCAGCGATTTTTATTGTTTAAAATAAGTTATAATTGCCTCCCATATATTCTGATCTGTTCTAAGTTCTCTTCCTGACTTCTCTCACTTCTCCTTGCTAAGCCAGAATAAGTGCCCTTGTTAAAGTGAGCCTAGTTAGGAGCTCTGGAAGCACTTAGTGCCTTCAGCCTCAGCAGATTACCCATCCATGCAGACTCAACTCATGTTTCAAGAATCCGCTACCTTGGAGATTATGTTAAGAAATGTTCACTTGATAATATCCACTAATAAATGTTGCTCTCATTTCCAATGTGTGCATTTTCTGGTGCATTTGTATATGTATTTATGGCTCTAGCCCTTTCCATAAACAATAAAAGCTTTGCTATCCAGAATGTGGTTCGCAGACAGATTCTCAGGCCTTATCCCGACCCACTTTGCAGCAGTAAACATTTAATTTGGAGAAGCACTGGATGAGAGTAGTGGTTCTTGATCTTATCTGTGTACTGAGGAGCTTTTAAAAAAATCTCGTGTGTCCAGAATCTCTCCGCGTAGAACCCAGGCATCAGAAGTATTTACAGCTACCCAGCTGATCCCAGTGTGCACTGCAGGAGGGAGCCCTGAGTTAGAGGTCATTGGAATTTGTGATTAATGCCTAATTCCAGGCACAGCAAACTAAGAAGTTCCATTTCTTTCAGCTCAGTCAAAGGCCAACTGTGGCCGAACTGCTGGCCAGGAAGATTCTGAGGTTTAATGAATATGTCGAGGTAACAGATGCTCAAGATTATGACCGGCGCGCCGACAAACCTTGGACCAAACTGACCCCTGCTGACAAGGTAACTAGAAAGCTTGCTTTTAAAATGTTTTCTTTGTTTGAAGGATTCAGCACACTTTAACTCCTAACTGTAGGAGTTAAAGCATTCAGCTGCTAACCCAAAGGTCAGCAGTTTGAACCCACCAGTCAGCTTCCCTGCCTTGGGAGCCCTGTGGGGCACTTCTGCTCTGTCCTGCAGGCTTGCTATCAGCCAGAAGTAGCTTGATGGTGGTGGATGGAGATGCTAACTAAAGGAGGAATAATCATAAACAATGCTTCTGGTTTTCAGATAACATTAAATTTCAAATCAGGACACAAAATGTAACCAAAGAAAAGAAAATCTGCACAGCATCCCAGAGGATAGAAAAATAACTTGGAGAAAATAAAGCACATCAGATTTGTTTGGGGGATGTATTTGAGTAACTATGCAATTTACTATTGTCATGAGGAGAACATTTTGTAGTCTGTGGGTACTATAAAAGCTAGAATCTCCATGATTCTTGCTGGTTTTTCAAGGATGTGATTAAATGGTGAGTTTAGAGTTCTTGGGAATGGCATTGGGAAAGATGTTAGAGAAGCAGCTCAGAGCTGAGTTCACTGTTGACTTGGCTTCTTTCCCTTTCCTTGGTTCCCCAGTGAGGTTTGGTTGACTCAAAAAGTAGAGACAGTTAAGAGACAACAAATCTCATTCCTAGAGTATGACAAACGGAAAGGATAGTACAGCATGTTTGTTTCATCTCCACAGGCTGCCATAAGAAAAGAACTAAATGAATTTAAAAGCTCTGAGATGGAGGTTCATGAAGAGAGCAAACATTTTACACGGTAAGACTCTAAAAAGACCCAAGTATTAAGAGCTAAGTGGAGCCCCTGAAAACATGCGGATAAGCACACAAGTCAGAGATGAAGGACTCTAATGATGGAGTTGTAAGGTCGCCTACTCGCTGGTGATTGCAAGAAGCAACCTTAGGAGAAAGAGATGAGAAAAATTATTCTGAGTGTAGCATTTAATGTATATTTTCTTATTTAATCTTTAACAAGTGCAACTAATAATAATATCTCCATTTATAAATGAAGAAACCGAAACTCCGAAGAGTTCAGTAAAATTGCTAGTCAGTTGAAGGAGCAGGTTTGGGAGCAAGAAATGAATGGGTGGGGGAATGTAACCCGCCACAGGTTATATATGAGGAGATTCTACAAGACTGAAAACATTTTGTCACTTTTTCTGGTTTCAGTTCTTTCTTCCACAATTAATCCTACCAATTTAGAATATAAACCTCTTGAATTAGCTATCTTTTTGCCAAGGAATCATTTGATTCATAATAACATTTTATGATTAATGATCCATCCAATATCTAAACATCAGCCAGCCAGGGGAATTAATGTGAAAGTCTCTTTTTTAGGCCTAGTTTTATTGAGCTCTAATTAGCATATCATACAGTTGAGTAGCTGAGACATGCTAAAAGGGCTGTGCAGTGGCCACCGCCGTCACCTTTGGAGCACGCTCTTGTTTCTCGGGCCCATTGCTGTTGACTCTCCTCATTTCCCCCACCCCTCCCTTCCCTTCCGTGTCCCAGGCAATTACTAATCCAGCTGCTGTCTTCATAGACCCACCCTTCCTGACTTCCCTACACAGAAAAACATGCACAACAAAGACCCACAACAATGACCAAAGAAAGCAGAGAATATTTTTACATTAGAATTAATCCAAAGGGAGCTCAAATTACAAGGGTTACATTCTAACCTAAGTACAGCTGCTAAAATCTCTTTTACCGTGCTCTTTGACATTTGAACAGTTTACATGGGGATGCTGCAATTGGATTTGGGGCTTCGAAAGTATCTTTATGTGATTGTCAGAGCATTTGTGAAGAAACTAACAAAGAAGATGCGATGACAAATATGAGGTTTGCTGTATAAAGAACAAGGAAAATTGGAAAATAAGATTTTTTTGAAGATGTCTTTCGTTAGTAAACACCCACTCCTCACTTACTAGCATGGTTTGGTTCTAAAAATTAGGTCATTGTACAAAAATTGGCCTTACAGGAAAATAGAGTATGGCCACATCAGATCACCAAATGGAGGATGATTACTGATTTGTAATGATATATATATGCAGTTACATAAGGATGTAATTTATAACTACAAGATAATATTACATAACTGCAAAATGATATCATTCCTTAACTGCCAAACCACTGAGAATCGTGGCCATGCCAAGCTGACTTGACATGACTTTAACCCTCACATCCAGTTCTTAGTTTTGCCTCACACCTCAGCATTCATCACGCCAGACATACAATGTCAATGTGCAAAACAGTTGGATAGTATATTTTTACTATTGTAAATCTGAAATGTCGAATAATGAAATAATTAATGAGTAAGGAATAGGGGTATGGGTAAACTGTAATTTTGACCACAGACTTATTTTGTACTGAGCCCTGATGTGAGAGAACAACAAAAACACCATGCAAGACACCGACCGAAGTGCAAACATGAGTGATCAGCGTTACTTGTCTGCCAGGAGTGATTGGTCTAGTCTGGGAAAGGGTTTGTGTATTACTACATGCAATACAGTCAATATCCAAATATAAATACTCCAGTCTGTCTACCAGGATTCATACCTCCGCCCCACCATTTCTTAGCGATGTCGGTTATTTTTGTTGTTACGATGGTCAAGTGCTTTAGTGACCACGAATGAAGGGACAGGACTAAGTCGTTGATAAAGGAAGAGTCAGAAAAGGTGACTCACAATGAGGCTTTGAAAAGTTTGTGGGGAAGTTCTATTATCTCTTAGTTTCGGTTTTCTAGTAACTCTTTGAAGCCCCTAGTACGGGCTGGCTCTTAGAGTCGGTAAGAGAATTTATCTGGATGAAAAGGAAGGAAATAGCAGAGTAAGCAGACCCAGAAGCGAGGCCATGGGAGGCAGAAAATGCCTGTTGTTTATGGGTAACAGGAAATGTGGGTGGAGCAGAGGGTGTGTGGAGGAAGATGAACCCAAAAAGTCGGTCGAGGTTACACATGAAAGTTTTTTTAAAACTTCTGTGAGGATGTTCAAGTCATTGGAAGTTTATGAGCAGAGAATTCTGTCTTTCGCAATGTACTCTGGTGGTCGGGTGGAAGGAGAAGGGCACTAGCTGCGAGGAAGCCAGTGCAAAGTGATTGAAGTATTCCTATAAATGACAGGCTAGCCCAAATCAGGGCACTGACAGTACAAAAGGGACTTGAAAGACGTTTTGATCATAGGAGAGACAAGATTCCGTGGTCTGTTAGGTAAAAAATATTCCGGTCACCATCAAGTTGCGGTGGAGTCACAGCCACCGAGGTGTGTCAGAATAGAGCCTTGCAGTGTCATCAAGGACTGGCCTTTTAGAAGTAGATTGCCAGCCCTTTCTTCAGAGATACCTCTGGGTGGAATCGAACAACTAACATTTGAAGGCTTTGAAACAGTTTGGGGTTACTACACTTTAGGACATTTATTTAGTTGTTATGTATTGAGCACCTACTATAGGATAGAGCCCTGGTGGTGTAGTGGTTACAGGTTGGACCACTGACTGCACGGTCAGTGATTAGAAACCACCAGCCCACTCTGGGGTAGAAAGAGGAGGCTGTCCACTCATGTGGAGAGTTAGTCTCAGAAACCCACAGGGGGGTTGGGAGGGAGGGGGAAAATGAGGACCTAATGCCGGGGGTTTAAGTGGAGAGGAAGTGTTTTGAGAATTATGTACAAATGCGCTTTACACACTTGATGTGTGTATGGATTGTGATAAGAGTTGTGTGAGCCCCTAATAAAATGATTTAAAAAAAAAAAGAAACCCACAGGGGCAGTTCTACCCGGTCCTGTCGGGTCGCTCCAAATCAGAATCGGTTCAGTGGCCAGTGGCGGTGAGGGAGAGTATATGATGGGAACCATGCTGGTTGCTCGGAGTGAGTGCAGCAGGGATCGAGAGAAAGGCCTTGTCCCCAAATGGCTTATATCCTAAAAGAGGAGAGCAGACAGTAAACGTATTAAAAATAAATTACATTCTTGAGACAATAATTGGATATCCAGCCTTAGAGTTCAGGAGAAAAGCAAGACTTGAAAATACAAGTTTATTGAGGGAGGGGTGATGGGGGAGGGAGGGGAAAAATGAAGACCTAATGTCGGGGGTTTAAGTGGAGAGAAAATGTTTTGAGAATGAAAACAAATGCGCTTTACACAATTGATGTGTGTATGGATTGCGATAACAGTTGTATGAGCCCCTAATAAAATGTTTAAAAAAAAAATACAAGTTTATGAAATAAGACAGTGGGGAAAATGCTTTTTTTTTATTCATAGGGTGGGCAGAGGGGAAAGAATCAGAAAAGTATTTGAGGGAAAGCAATGAAGAGGAAGAAAGAAAACTAAGGGGTAATAGCCTCATGGAAGCCAAGAGTTTCTGAAAGGAAGGGGAGGGGTGGGAGCATCAGATGCTACAGGAAGCAAAGGCAGAGTTGGTTTTGTTTTAACTTATGGTGTAGCATTTTACTGCTGCAGATTTAACAATAACAAAGCAGCTACATTCTGTGGTAACTTGACTCTTTGTGCTCCTCTGTTTTAGCTACCATCGCCCATGATGCTGAAATTTGGGAGAACTAAATGACAACCCTGAAACTGGCAGCTTTGCTGCTTCGTCCTCCAGCATGACATTGAGGGACATCAGTGCTCCCCAGCCTCCCAGGCCACACCGGGTCCAAGGGGTCCGGTTCAGGGCTAAATAGCACTTCTATGAATGTAGCATTTCACTGGAATGGATTTTCCCGTGCTGCCCTTGGGGCGCAACTGAACATGTCTATATTTTTTAATCTTTTTACATTGCCCCATATTTGAGGGGTTCCCTCACCAGCCACCAAAGTCCCGGATAATCTGCAAGTTCCGAGTTTTATTGGTTGCACCACACCTCGCCTCAAGATGACCGCCTGTGCCAAGGCACAGTTCACACGGATGGCCTTACCTCCCCTGCCCTGGCTGTGAGACCACTTGGTAGGCATTGAGTTCCAGCCATCAGTTCTAACTGACAGTGGGGCACTAGAGGCCCTGGGTCTTCTGGCAAGAGCCCCCCACCTCCAAGGGGAACTTTCACACACCCCAGGGAACCGGCATGTCAGTTGAAAAGCAATGTGCTTCTCCTATTATAGGGAGTCCTGGTGGCACAGTGGTTAAGCACTAGGCTGCTAACGGAAAAATCTGCAATTCAGACCCACCAGTGCTCGTGGGAGAAAGATGTGACAGTCAGTTTCCATAGGATTTGTAGCCTTGGGAACCCCATGAGACAGTTTTCTTCTGCCCTGTGGGTTCACTCTGAGTTAGAATTCAGCTCAACAGCAGTGGGGAGAGAAAGCTCTTAGAACATAGCAATATATTCCTCCTCTGGCACTCAAGCCTGAAAAGAAACTCAGGAGCCAGTATGTTTCCCCTTTGGGGCATAGATTCCCCCTAATTTTTTACAAAAAGTTGTAAAGAAATATGGAGACTTTTGTTCTCTCTGTGAAAGAGTCTAAGCTGAAACCGGGTTTAAAGTCATAAAATAAGAAAGTGTATATATTTCCTGTATACAAAAACAAAATTAAAAAGCCTTCATAGTAATGCCAACTTGGCAGAAAACGGACTGAAATTGTATAGGCTGTGGTGCTTTCTGTGTACCAAGTGATCCTTCTGCGTCGCGCTGACCAGGAGCCGGTCCTCCTCCAGAAACAGGTGTTGCCGTTCTGGAGGAGCACTCCGATGCCACTGGCCCCACACCTGGGCTGAAGGGATGTGGGGTGGGGGTTTGCAACCAGAGGCGACTGGTTGGGATTTCTTCTCAAGTGCTCCTCCTCGGCTCCAAACACTGATCCTCTTGCGGAACCTCTGTGCAGTTTCTGCCACGTCCCTCCTCTTCCAAGCTATAGCCACTGTCATTGCTGCCTGGACATTTGTTCAACCCCACCTCTTTTGTATTTGTAATATAAATAATAATATCCTGATATACAAGCTTTTCACTTGCTTTGATTTTTACAGAAAACCATACAGCCTCGCTGTTTCCCTCTAATTCCTATGCACACGAAGTGGAGGAAACAGTCGCTCCTGCACTTGAATGTGGTGGCTTTTTCTCTAATGGTCAGGAAATGTTAACTGTTTACTAGGTTTCTTCTGATATAGTCTGTGCTTCGTGGCTTTAGTTCTGTTTGAACTCCTGTCCTAGATTTTTCTTTTTCTTTTTTTTCTCCTTTCATGTCAGCATAAAATTTGGTGAAGAATCAGAATATTAGATCAAAACGAAAAAGCTGAAGTGACCTTGAAGGCAGTATCTTTTGTGTGTGTGGTAAGAAGCCCCCCAGAGAATGTGTGCTCCTCAGTTCCTGTCCGTTGGGCTAATGATTCCAGCGAGAGACGGGTCTGCGGCTCTGTGGGACACATGCACGTTAGGGTAACTGAGGGGAGACGGTGTATCGGTCGGTGGTGGTTGGTCTGTAAGGTGGCCACACATTATCTGCTAACTTCTCACCTTTCCTTCCTGTTGGCTTGAAAACTCGCTGGCTGATGCCAGCATCTTTGTGGTGTGCTATGACACTTTGAAATCCTTCCTTTGGAAACTGCCTTTTTCTTAATGTGCCAACCTTGAAACAGATTTACCTGCCTTCTCTGTGCCACCAAGGGAGTCCATTCATCTTTCATCTCCTTTGTGCTCCTTTGAAGCAAGACACTTTGGGGAGGTCAAGTCTTTCTAGGTGTTTTGTGATTTTAATAAATCTTCTTTTTTCTGTCCCTGTAATTAACAATTCACACTCATAATGTAAAGAAACAAAAACATAATGTACTTCAAGATATTTCCATGATGTACAGAATCTCCTTGTAAAATAAATAATTGTGTTGTATATCAGTCTTCATATCAATATTAATTATTAAAGTATTTTAAAGTTAAAAGAAATGTAAAATGTTTGTGTTTTTTAAGTCCTTCCCTATTCCAAAATGAGTTTAGCTATTTTTTTAAAGGCCCTAAAATATGACATGAGACACTCAGTGAGAGGTCACTGAGGTAAAAAGAATAATAAAAAGCACATTAAATATAGCTGGAGGTGAGAGTGGGTCATGTTTGTGTCTGTTTGTGCATGTGTATGAAAATAAGTGAGGAAGGCAACTTGAATGTCATCCATGTGCCAGATGTTACATGGGCTGCTTTATCCCAAATTAAGTGATAGTATTACTTCCCCAAGGTGAAAGCAAATTATGTAACCACTCTTTCTATATTTGGTCCCTACCGGCTCTAGTCCCTTTCCAAGGATTTACCAAGTCTGGACACCATCGCCTTCAGGTGGCGTCAGGAAAGGACTGTTGCCGTCATGCACGTCTCTCCGGCAAGCAGCCCAGTCAATCCAGGTGGTCTCAGCACTGACTCACTGCTTGTCACTTCAGAGAGTGGCCTTGTTTCTAGCATGTTGCCCTTTATCAGAGGTTAAATCCAGCATTCAAAACTGCTCAGGTCATCAGCTTCCTACATCTACACTGTCCGAAGCCCCCAGACCCTGGGGTTCATTCCCTCAAGGCATTTGGTAAATACTCAAATAGAAATAGCCATGGCCAGGCCCCTGTGTTTCACCGATCTGACTCGCCATCGTGTATACTTACATCATCCACAGTCAACAAACACTATTCAGCTCCATGCGGGCCTTCCTGGAAATCCTAAACACTAAAACACAACATTGCCAATGAGTCGTTTTCAACTCAGAGTGACCCTGTAGGATAGGGTAGAATCACTCCTGTGGGTTTCCAAGACTAAGGCAGTGGTTCTCAAACTACCTCTAATACAGTTCCTCGTGGTGGTGACCCCCAACCATAACATTATTTTCATTGCTACTTCATAAATGTCATTTTGCTACTGTGATGAATCGGCAACCCCTGTAAAAGGGTCAATCGCCCTCCCAAAGGGGTCGCAACCCACAGGTGGGGAACCAGTGCTTTTAGGGGAACAGAAAGCCTCATTTTGCTCCTAAGGAGCAGCTGGTGGTCTCTAACTGTGGCCCAACAAGTAACCACTCCGCTGTCAGGTTCCTCTAAACACTTAATGAACTGGAAACTAATTTGCTCTCTCATCCAACACAATAAAATGAAATATTAATGTTATCGTGAAGTCCCTCCATCTAATCTCACCCATAAGAGGGACAAAGGTGCAATGACAGTTAATCTGGTCTTCCAACAAGATCTTTTCAAGATTAACCTCTCCAAATGTCTGTCACATGCTACCTACCCAGCCTGTAGCTCACGGAGCTGGGTGTATTTTGTGAGTTGTTTGGACCCTAACCACACATTTCGGAAAGTGAGGAAGCTCAAACCTTACTCCCTGTTCATGTGAACATCCAAAGTGCATCTAAGGTGGCTTTACTCATTTTCATTATTTCTGGACCATGTTCTTTTATATAAGGTGTGGGGCTATACAATTTTTTTTTTATCATTTATCCATTTTCCAACAAAGAATGAATTGAGGAATCCCAAAAGAATCAAGAGAATGAATTTCTTGCCTATGATGCTCACAGCACACCACACACATTAGTAAGTGGTAGAAACACAAGCCAAACCTTGAGCAGATTAAAAATCACTGATGAAAGTATTGATCTCTACTTAATCTGGGGCAAAAAAAAAGGAAACCAGAGACTCAACAATAAGAACCCCAGTCCATCTACCCTGAGACCAGAAGAACTAGATGGTGCCCAGATACCACCACTGACCTTTCTGATCAGGGCCACAAAAAAGGGACCCTGGTAGAATGGGAGAACAATTATGGAATAGAACCCCACATTCCAAAAAAGTCCTACTAGAGATGGGAGGACTTCCCAAAACTATTGCCCTGAGGTACCCTTCAAACAAAACCCCAACAAGGTCACTTTGCAGCTAATAACAAATTGGCTCACAAAACAACACTGTAGACCTATATAAAAGCAAATGGTCAACAATTATTTTAAAACAAAGATGAAAATATAAGGAAACAACTTGTCCAGAAGTTGTTGAATGGGAACCTAAACTGTTGTGTGCGCCTTCAGTAAAAACCCAGTATTCTTAAAAGGTTACAACTCTGGAGCACGCTACGCAGCGTGCACGGGGTCACCATGATTCAATCTCGGTCACAAACAACAGGGAGAAGTGACGTCCTCTCAGCCCTCAGCAGACTGTTCACATCCTCCGTCTGCTGAGAATGGTTTGTACAAAGCATCCATACAGCACTCACAAGCACTAGTACAACTTGCCCTCATCTCTCTTTCCCAGATGTGGTAAGCTGTAGAGGACCGACAACGTCTCTGTTCTATTTCAGAAGTCCCAGTGTCTAGCACAAAGACTCCTAGCCACCCTCTGAGTAGAACAGGATAGAACTGCCCCGTGGGCTCCCCAGACCTTAACTCTACGGGAGTGAAAAACCCTCTTTCTTCTTCACAGAGGCTGGTGGTTCTGAACCGCTGACCTTGCAGTTAGCGTAACCACTATACCACCACGGCTCCGTAGTCAGAATGGACAGTGGCAGAAAGTTTGGGGGTTTTTTGAGCACAAACACATACCCACTAAGTAAATGTCGAACGAGTACTTAAAAAGGGACTCAATGCTAACTAACAGAATCATCGTCTTCTAAACTTCCAGTTCTCAAACATTTTCCTCTTGGGGCCTCTTCACAAACATGGAGGACCCCAAAGAACTTTTGTTTCTGTGAGTTATATCTCTTGATAGGTAATATACTGAACTTAAAACAGAAAGTTTTAAAATGTGTTAAAATTTGTTTAGGGAAAGCAAAACTCATAAAAATCAGTGAGAAGAGCGGTAGGCCGCTTTTGTCTGTCTAACAAATCCCTTTCATAGCTAGCTTGATAGAAAACAGCTGGATTCTCAAAACTGCTTCTGTATTCACTCGGGTTTTTGTTTTGTTTTTGCTTCAGGTTTTTAACGTCAGGGGAAGTCGGTGGCAAGATATTTGGGGGGAATCCTGTAGGCCTGTGGCTCTCTAAGTCCCTCCAGTAACTTGTGAATATGGGCCTTGATGTTCCTGGAGTTCTTGGTAAGGCTGTTGCTGAGCTCTGTAAGGAGAGAGCTCTTGCAATCAATGAACTTGAGTGCTTCTCTCAATGTCAGCTCCAAGTAAAAAACCATACCTCAGGGCCATGGAGCTCCATAAAGTGACTGGGAGCACTGTGTCAATGAAGGTGCTACAGCCTAAATGCACGCGCATGCCTAACTCCCAGGGCTTCGCCTCTTCAAGTCCCTCGATGACACTTTTCAGTTGAAGGAAGTGGGTCAGCTGCCCATAGACTTTCTCTCTCTGTTCCTCAGGTCTGCTGAATCACATACTGATGAAGACCTCATAGTGCAACACTTTCCCACCCATAGACTCTACCTCCTGTAGACTCTACCTCATGTAGCAGTCATGGTCACGACAGACTCCTTAGGGCAGCAGTTCTCAACCTGTGGGTCTCGACCCCTTTGGGGGTCGAACAACCCTTTCACTGGGATCGCCTCAGGCCATTGGAAAACACGTTATTTCCAATGTTATTAGGAACCAAGACACCATTCCTCTATCCGTCTCCAAGTAGGTCCAGGCAGATATGTCCACATACCCCATGTAAAGACTGTTACCCATGCTACACCATGCTTAATTTATTCATAATTAGAAATAAATATTTCACAATATATAATTACAGATTGTTTTTGTGATTCATCACTACGCTTTAGTTACGTTCAATTTGTAACAATGAAAATACATCCTGCATATCAGATATTTACATAATGATTCATAACAGTAGCAAAATGACAGTTATGAAGTAGCAACGAAAATAATTTTATGGTTGGGGGTCACCACCACATGAGGAAGGAACTGTATTAAAGGGTCATGGCATTTGGAGGGTTGAGAACCACTGCCCGAGAGTTTCAGGGAATAAGAACAGCCAGTAACTCTTAATCCCTAGTGCTAGTTTAAGTATTGGAAGAAAATGTATTCTTATGCAAATAAACAACTGGAAAAAGACATCAGCCATGCTGGCAAGCATAAATGGTCTTCAGTGGGAAATGTGACTATTTAACTTCCAATTCAATTGATCATTTAAGTACTTTCCCTGGAAACAAAATGTGTACTTCGCCATTTTGTCACATAGAATATTAAAACGATGGCTACTTTGGTCGAGATGTAATAAAATACTTTTTACATCTTCATCAAGGTCATTCTTAGGTGATAGCCTAGTCTTTATAACTCATAAGTCCATTTGGTCGAGTAGAACTACCCCATAGGGTTTTCTGGTAGGTGGCCAGGTTAGCAGCTAAGCCCCTGGCGTTTACGCCCCTACCAGGGTTCCTTAATAACACAGATTCATTAACTAGGTTTCTACGCAGTACAGTCCGGCCGTGATGCCCGTGATGACCGTACTTAGCATGAATTTGTCTGTTGGGAGCCGGTGGCCATTAAGGCCATAGCCTCAGCCACGGAGCCGAACTTGGCTGCTTCCTAGTTAAGTGTTGTCTTTCATTTGCTAAACCTGTGGGGACTGGCCCTGCCTAAATCCCTGCCTCCGCGTTCCTAGCTACGT